AGAAAACAACGATCAGACAGACCTAGGCATGAGCAGAGCCCAGACCTCACAGGGACTACGGGCTACAGAGGAGATAGGCCATGTAACAACCTGCAGGCAGCTACACATTGTAGAAGTGGTGGCACCTCAAGGAGGCCTCAGTCAGGTGCTGTCTGCCAGGTCGGAAAGGTGACAGCCTCACAAAACACAGCCAAGAGCTACAGCAGTCTGGAAAATTCCATAAAACAACCAGGTTATTTTGGTTCCATCACTCTGATTCTCAAAGCCACAGAGGAAAAACAGGGCAATACAGAGGTTGCGAGGGTAAAAGAGGGTGTGAGAGGACAGAAGACATCGACGTTGTAACTACTGCTCTGGTCTGAACGTCCCTCGAAAATTCTCAGGGTGAAACCCCAATGCCCAAGACATATTTTACCAAGCCTGTCTCTGTTAGGGCACAGTCTGGGTTGATTTGGGGTAGTAAAACAAAGAGGACAAGGGGACAGCAACCCTAATCTAGGGCACAGCTTAAGTTAGCTAAGGCCTCTGGAGTGTGGGGATACTGCAGTAGTCCCTAATGGATGGGTTTTATTCAACCCCGCAAAGGTGCACGTGAGAACTTGCAGTTCAGGAAGATGGAAATGAGCAGAAAACGAGCGTACAGGCTCCTCAAAATGAACACAAGACCCTTAAAGCTCCCCCCAAGAGCAAGACCACGGGAAGGCAGGTAGAAAGACTCTCCCATGAGAGTATCTGTTATCTACTAACAAATTCAGGAAACTGTCTGCAGTGCAGGCTCCCTGGACCCTCCTCCATCCCTGACACGGAAGCACGTGAGTTCCTGTCTCTGTGGCTGCCACCGCCCACCGCACCGACAATGGCCGTGCACATCGGCTCAGTGGAAGCGTTTGGGGCACAAATAAGCAATTTCTCCGATCATTTCTTAATTACACCTAACATCTTTTCTAATGAGATTCTCCCTAGACTGCCCTACGCATACCCTGGTCACTTAAATCATTCATGTGGCATTTGGACTTAGGTTTGCACAAGAAGTCCTTAGAGCAATGAATGACCAGAGGAAGGACTTTCTAACCCGTGGCCCACACTGGTGAGGGCTGAGTTACGCTCATGCCTAGATCTGCCTGGTCTTTGTTTTCTCAGAAAATTTATATTACTTTCATTTTCATTGTGATTCACAAGAGTGGGAAGGTCTCAAAGCCTCACCTAGAATGCAGGAAGAAGCGTAATTAGCACAAAAGGGAGAGATGCAATCAATACTGCGCATTGATTATGTTACAGCATAGGCCCCTCAAGGGTTTAATATGCTCTGACTGGAGCTACCATTACTAATGTACACCACTGATCAAAGCACAGTGAGCAATTATTTGTTGGACTGGCCATATATTTAACATAAAAGTAATCAATCCATGGCAAAAGGAAAAAAAGTACTGTAAAGGTGTTTGAGATTTTTGAATGATTTCCTGTAGCCCTTTCCAAAATAAACAACAGTTTAAAATATCTGCAAAAACCACTTCCAGGTGATTTATTTAACAGAAATGGAAACTAAACCTGAATACAAAATCAGGAGGACTCAAAAGATAGCTTATACATTGATTTCTTTCTCATATACTAGAAATAAATAAAACGAAAGAAAAACAATTAACTACCCACACTCCTTCTCATGAGCAGGCAAATCCTTGCTGTGCCTAGGAGATTTCAGGTAGGTGCTCAGCTGGAAGGGTGCTGCGTTAAGCACAATGACTGCGCAGAGTAAGCGCACTCTGGGCTGAAGGGCCTGGCAGATGAATCGATAGAGCAGAGGACGACAGACAACAAAGGGGGAGGCTCATGACCAGGGATCTCCTCACCATATCACTGCTTGAGTAACGGCATGAAGTGGTCGTTCACAGTACTGATTGCATCGCTCCCTTTTGCGCTAATTACACTTCCTCCTACATTCTAGGTGAGGCTTTGAGACCTTCCCACTCTTGTGAATCACAATGAAAATGAAAGTAATACAAATTTTCTGAGAAAACAAAGATCAGGCAGATCTAGGCATGAGGGTAGTGGGCCACGTGTCTAAAAGTCTACAATAAATGTACGCTTGCGACTGCACAATACTGTGGGCCAGCCACGGGTGTCTGCGCTTCCCTCCTTCAGAATAAGAAGCCTCTGAGAGGAGACATTGCTATGTTGCATTGATTTGGTCCAGTTCCCTGTACAAGAATGCTCAATAGATTTGACTGTGTATCTGAGCACATTTCTGTGTACACCACACACATCTTTCTGTAAACAAGGATGATGCCACCAGCTGTTTATCATTAAGTTAAATGCCCTGCATTATATTTCCAACAAGGATCATAAGGACAGACCTGTGTGTATATATCCACTCCAGCCCCTCACCTATGTCCTCCATTGGGCATGCAAGACACTTAGCCGGGGGTAAAACTCAGCCCCTCTGAATCAAGTAAAACTAAGTGGTTGAAAAGAAGATCAAATATATATCCTCAGCCTTGTGAAGACTGTATTCTCTCCAACTCGTTTGCCCTTCCCGCTGCAAACCCCCACACAGTGAAAGCTAGAAACAAGCCCCTGACTTTTGATGAACATCCCGACCAGTGGGCCAGGTCACCATCCGGGAACGTCAGTCCCTGTGACCCGCACCCTGAATGCAGACCCTATTATAAACCCAGAATCTGGGGGCCTCACTGTCAGGTGCACAGCAGCGTGGACCAGGAAGCAGCCTCCACGGCAATAGTCACTCATTTTTCTTTGCTCGTGTAGTTTGCAGAAAATTTTAAAATTCTGCTTTTCACATGAAGTTGACTCAAACTTTTTCATTACAACATTAATTAACTGCAAAGGGTATAAGTCTGGATACCGGAATTATTAAAAGTTTCAATTAAAACATATCCCTCTTTAAATGTATCTCATAAAATCTAAATAACACCGCAAATTGAAAAGCTGCTTTTATCCACTGAAAAAGAAATAAAATCTTCTTGAACAGTAAAAATGCTACATTGTTCTCTTTCCTCCTTGAACTCATATTTTCATTCCATTTCCCCCACAGAATTTTCCTACAATATAATGTTTTAATGCTTCAGAGATTTTTATCAGTCACTCCATTATACTTCTTTGCAACAAAGAGTGCATAAAGTGATCCTTTAACATTTCCTGCAACCATACATCTTAAAAGTATTTGATTTTCTTCTAGTTTAAGCTATCATTATCAACACACACAGTGGATCCAAAGAACATTATTTATCAGAATGTTAATATAGTTAACACAGAAAATACGATTTTATGGGAAATTTCTAAAGAGGGGGATAGGGCTTATTTATTTATTCCTTCAACTAATTCATGTATCTACAGATGAGTATTATCCATTTTTATAATAAGACAGGGCTTAGTATAATTCCATATCTTTTCTTTTTCACTTTTAGATGAAAACAGATGTAAGGAACCTTGTAAAGAGTAAGAGGCTTTGCTTACATAAGTTTATATAAAATGAAGACTTAGCCAAAAAAATTTTTTGTCTATCATCTTATAACTAGATTAGGTCTTCCTTCAATTTTTCAGAAAGCCAAGAAGTCAAACCTATCTAATTTTTAAAAGATGTGTTTCCTGGTTTTTAATACCATTGGCTTCACCATCACAGATACTGTGGTTTCATTTTTTAGTTGGGGAAGGGGGCTGAGGTTTTTGCACCGCAGCACAATACATCTCAGTAGATCCAGGATGTTAATATTTGTGCTTGTCTTTATCAAGTAGGAAAAGGGTGACAGCAAATGACAAGACAGAAAAGGAGACCTGGCAACATCAGTTTCAAAGCAAATCAGATTTAAGAAGGGGAGCTGAAGGAGTTAGGACCAAAGAATTGATCCCCTAAAACTATCATGCCTTCCTAGCTGCAGCAGAGGGAACAGCTTTCGCCTGCTCAAAGGTATCATTGCCAGATAGTCTCTGTGCACATAAAAGAACACTCAGTTTGACTGACATACGAGCCCCCAACAATATATATGACTGTAGCTGATATTATAAAAGTAATGGGTTTTTTAAAAGGCAGGAATATAATTCCTGTTCAATGTACCTAAAAGAAAGAAATGTCTAATAAATCATTGCACCCTGACAACACAGAAACCACACTCAACAAAAGATGGTAAGTAAGCTCAATATTTTTATAACCTCAAAAAAAAAAAAAAACAACAACCTGGAAACAGTCCAAATACTCAATAATAGAAGAACTGCTAAATAATTTATACTACAGCTGTGTGATGGAAGTGTATGCAATAGTTTAATTTGAAGAACATATGTTGGCATTAGAAAACATTCTTTGTATGGTAGTGAGTAAAAAAAAGCAAGAAACAAAGTTGTAAAGATGTCATACTCATTTGTGAAAGTATATGTGTATGGAAGAAAGACTTAAGAAAAATCCATTAAATTGTTTCCACTGGTTATTTAAGATGTTGTTAATTAGGGACAGCTTTCTTGTTCTTTTATTTTTTCTTTTCAAATTTTCCATAAAGGGCATGTAGCTCTTTCAGTGAGGGGACAATGGTGTAGAGGAAGGTCAAGAAGGTTGGGAAACAGGTTTGCATTTCAACATTGCTGTGTAGTTGGCATCAGCAAGATGGTGCCCAGCCAGGAACTTAAATCCACCTCATGTGGTGTTATGTATCCTCCCCTCCCACAGAGGGCACCATTCTGTATCCTGCTGTGGAAGACAGAGTCCTCTGACCAAGCCCTCGTATACATTTTATCACATCACTTCATAACCAAGTTGATCTTTTTACCACTGACTTCCATGGCTGGTTCCTTTGAATCACTGATTTTACTTACTCCACAAAGGCAGTGGTAATGTAGTCAGGTTCCTATTACACTACCTTCATGAAATACCATGTTCATGGATGCAAAAAGCTATCAGCTAATACGATGCTGAAAACCAGCAAAGTCATCTGGCTTTCAAGAATGTGTGGAGGGCAACTTTTACGTCTGCTGTGTCACATGGTCTCGTCTCTTACCTCAGCAGGTGGGGAGGAATCTTGACAATGGTGTCCAGACCACCCAGGGTTTCTGCAAAAGGAAAATCACAAAGTTACAACTAAATATTTAAAGGCGGAAAATCTACACTGTACATTAATTTCAGCTTCTTTTTTCCTGGAAATGCCTAAAATTATAAATTAGTCAATTCCCAATTATCTCTGTGTACATCATCCTTATTTTAAAATCCTTCTCCCTTGACATCCTGAGAGGCTTCCCTGGACCCTGCCTCACTATTAGGAAGGACAAAGTTAAAAATCAGGACATATTTCCCTCTAGAGACAATGAACGAACAGTTTAAATACCAATTTTATCTACTTATGACTGGTCTCTAGATACTATAATCTTGCAATCAAAATAGAGAAACGGAAGTTGTTCCCTTCAAAATACCATTTCAACATCCTTAAACCATAACACATACTTGTGAAAGACTTTCAAGCTCACAAACATGTTAGACAACATCTCATTATCCTCATACACGTCTACGACATGGTAGGTGAAACCCTTTCTAAACCACATTGTATTAAAGAAGCTGACTGGGAGGATCACCCGCAAATCTCATTAATCCAACCTGGAGGTTCAATACTGAGCCACTGTTTATGGGTTAGTGCCTTGGCTTCCTCCGACTGCAGACACAATAAACAGTTCACTATTTCCCAAAAATCCTGACCTGCTTTAATCACTCCAACTTGTCTCCAGGCGAGCAGCTCAAATGCAGTTTATTCCTTTCTTATTTCTTAGCGTCAGCAAGCTCGGATAATTTGAGCTATTTTCCTTGGGGAGGGAGAAACATCTCTTCCCACACTGCTAAGAGATCAGAGGGAACGACAGACACGCAATGCATCCCTGAGACTCAGGACTGACAGTGATAAGGATCTGGGGCAAAACCGTGGATTTCAGAAAGACAGGTAATCAGCAAACAGAAGACGAGCTCAGCAGTGTCCAGGACACTGTGGGGACCAGGCCAAGGGAGGAGGTGGAAGGACAGGGGGTCGGGCTGAAGATGCGATGGGGTAATAAGAGAGGGAGCCTGAGAGGGAGGTGCGGGGAGCAGCTCACAGGCTGTTCAGTCAGTCCTGCCCAGCAGTTAGCACAATAGGCCAGCACCAGGGCAAGTCCATGCTGCTTGCCTAGGAGACATAAGGACGCTGAGCACCAAACCAGCACGGTGTTCTTGCTCAAGAGAGGAGTTCCTATCCAGCTCAGGGTGTACAACAATGCCCAGCTCCACAGCTGTTAAAAGTGCACTAGAAGAAAAAGAGAAAGGGCAGCCACACTGTGGCTATGAAGAGCCTCTGCCACCTCGTGGGATATGCCTGGCCCAGGCACGCGGGAGAGGGTGGATTGAAAATAGGCTCCACGTCACTTACCCTCTCCAAGCTTCAGTTCCCTCAAGTGCTGGGGACTGAACCCAAGGCTTCACGCATGCCAGGCCAGCACTCTGCCACTGAGCCACATCTCCAGCCCAGATTGCTGATGTTCAAAAGGGGATCAACAACACCTGTGTTACAAGATTCCTATGAAGAACTAGTGACCTTCAAGAGCCTGACCTGTCCCTAGACATCAGTGCCCACTTCTGTCTCCCGTCCTTGATTTAGTCACTAAAGATATCACGAGTCCTTTCCTGGGCTAGGGCTCCAGCGGTGGGAACAGACTTGGTTCTGAACTTGTGGAGTGCATATCTGAGTTTCAAACTGTGGTTAATGCTGTGAAGGAAAACACAGGGAACTGAGGGTGGAACAGGGGACCCAACCTGGCACTGTGGAGCTAGGCTTCCATCAGAGAGGGGTAACGCTGGACAATGACTGTGTGAGGTAGGTAAGGGATGGGAGGTGTTCCAAACCCAAAGGGAATAATAAGTTCAAGATACATCAGGACTCAGCTGGGCGTGGTGGCAGCCACCCAGGGTACCTGCAGTTGGGTGGCTGAGGTGGAGAAGCCCTTGTGCCCAGCAGTTTGAGGCCAGCCTGGGCAATATAGCCAGACTCCCACCTAGACAGGAAGGAAGAAGGAAGAAAGGAACGAACAAAGGAAGGAAGGAAGGAAAATAAAACGTAAATAAATCAAATCCACCAAGAGTCCCAGTCACCTTCTCTGCCTCCATGCTGTCACTCTGGGTGAGCCGCCATCTTGTCCACCTGAAACGACCACAGCAGCCTCGGTACTGGGCTCCCTCCTTTGGGGCTCAGCTCCTACAGCAACTGCCTCTACCTGCACAGCAGCCTGAAAGGTCCCATCAAGACCCAGGGCAGGGCACCTGTTCCTCTATTCCCAGTGATTCCCTTATTTTAAATAAAAGCCAACCCCTCAGAGAGCTCGACAAGGACCTTGGCCATCTGGCCTTTTGTCTCCCACTTTTCTCTCATTTGCTTGACTAGCTCCAGCCTCTGGGCCTCTGCTCTCCTCCTTGGGGCCACCAGAAGTTTCCCTACCTGACAGACTCCCTTCTAGTAAGGCCTTCTCACACCCTGTGTAAGAGGCTCCAGGAGCCTCCTATCTCTCTCCACTGTTTATGTTTTCTTTCAGGTCTGATCACTACCTAGGTTGCCTTTTTCTTTATTTATCTTGATGACAGGCCGTCATCCCTGCCAGAGTCTGTAAACTCCATGAAGGCAGGACAGATCTGTTTGCTCATTTTGCTCACTCTGGTACCGGGACTTAGAACAGCACCTGGCACACAGTAGGCACACATACACAGGTGCTGAATTAAGGAAGTAGAGAAAGCACAGCACAGCCATACTGGAAGATGGCCAGGGTGGTAAGGGTGAGAGCACAGGATGAAGCTGTGGGGCAGACAGGCGTGGGCCGCACGAGGCTGCTGGAACATGTTCAGGACTTGGGTCCGCATCCTAACAGGATGCCATTCCATGTCTTCAGGGGGCATTATGATCAGATTTGGGGTTCCAAGGTGGCACTGCTTGGAGGATGGCATGGAGAGGGCAGAGTGGCCAGGGAGGAATGGCTAGGAGGCTGCACAGAAGTCCAGGCAAGTGGCTTTGCCTGGAAGTGGAAACAGAGGTAGAGAGAGGTGGACAGGCTCAAGACACAGGAGGCAGCAGGGAGCAGACCTAGGGCGATGGGCCGGGCATGGAGGAAAATTACAGAAAGGGCAGGATGGCTCTGGGTTTCAGCTTTGGGCGGGCAGAGGATGGCACCAGCTGACCATCTGGGAAGGCCAGCACTGTGAGGGGCGGTGTGAGGGTAGCGCATGCCGGCACTCTGACCTTGTTAAGCCCGGGCACCTCAGAGCCTCTCTGGTAGAGATGCTGAGTGGTAGCAGCACTGGAGTTTCCACCACAGAGCTAAGGTGTGGACCAGTGGTAGAAGTTGGGCATCGCATCCTCACAGACCAAGCTTAAACTGTGGGACTGTGGGTGTGGTTGTGCTCAGCCCCAGTGGATACGGAGCAGCTGCAGAGCCAGGTAGAGTGATCTCAGTGGGGGGTGGTCATGGGGTCAAGGTCAAGTGTGTGCCCAGTTCGGTTTGGGGTCACTGACAGAGGTGGAAAGCAGATCACAGTGGGGCAAAGGTGGAAAGTGAGAGCATGGGCCAAGCCTTACAGACGCTTCTGAAGAATTCTGGTGGATGAACACAGTGGTGCAGGCCTGTAGTCCCAACAGGGTGGGAGGCTGAGGCTGCAGGATTTTAAATTCAAGCCTAGCCTGGATAATTTAACAACTCAGAAAGACCCTATCTCAAAATGAAAGAAAGAAAGAAAAAAAGAAAGAAAGAAAGAAAGAAAGAAAGAAAGAAAGAAAGAAAGAAAGAAAGAAGAAGAGAAGAGAAGAGAAGAGAAGAGAAGAGAAGAGAAAAGAAAAGAATGGAGGGGAGGGGAGAGGAGGGGAGGGGAAGGACGGGAGGGAGGGAGAGAAAGGAAGAAAGGCAGGCAGGCAGGCAGGGGATGTAGCTCAGTGTGAAGGCCCTTGGTTCAATCCCCGGCACAATAAAAATTTGTAAATGTCTGGCTGTGAAGGTAACAGGACCATGGCTGGAAGGAAAAGTAGGCAGGTACGGTAAGTACAAGGATAGAAGATCTTCCTTTTCCTAGTTGGCTTCTTACCTCTACTCTTATTTCCCCTCTCCTTTATCTCCTCAGTTCACTCTAAGGACCCTGATACAGTATGCGTAAATGCTAAGCGTATTCTGAACTGACAGCACGGCTCCTTTCAGACATCACTCCCCACCCTTTCTCTCCGCGCCCCAGCCCACAAGCACCCAGGACCCCTGGTCCCGAAGGACAGCACTGCTCTTTCCAGCTCCCTTGGAAAGGACCACCAACCTACTCATTCCTTTCTACTCCCAGTCTGACTGTTTCCTCCCTGACAAAAAAGAACTCAGATAGAACCACAGAAAGAGCAACGCGCACACAGTCCTTACTAGTTCTCCTGTAACCACTGAGGAACACTGATTTTCAGACAAGGTTACGACAAAGTAAGAAGAAAACACGAAAGTAAAAAATGCACGAAGCCAGACATGGGAGACAGCCTGGAATCCCAGTTCCCAGGAGGCTGAGGCAAAAGGACTGAGTTTGAGGCCAGCTTGGGCTACATAGCGAGATTCTGTCATAAAACAAACAAAAACACATGAAAGAAAAACATAGCAAAGAAGAAAATGATAAAATTGAAAAACAAATGACAATATACAAAAAGTAAGCATGGTCCTTTGCAAGAGAGGGCTTTTAAACTGTCTACAGCATTACCTGTGTTGAGGTTATGAGCCGTTTTATTATATTCTACATATTGTCCTACAATCTTCCAATATTCTAAAATGAATATCTAAAACTTTTATGAATAACAATTTGAAACCCTAATAAGTCATTAAAGGATTTATTCATTTATGGAATGTCCACCTCTCATACTGTAGGTGCACAGGCCACCAAAAGCATCAATAGCCATGTCTGTGCTCACAGAAAACCCTGCTCTACCGACGGGCATTGTCCTCCCTGACCCGCACGCACCCCCTCCTTCTGAAGCAGCACCCCATCTTGCTCTACAGAAACCAGATTTCAGTGGGACTCATGGCTGGTGCCTACGCCAGCTGCTCTGTTCCTTGAATGGAAGACGGGGCCGGGATACTCGCAGGACCTCTGAGGACAAGGAGAGAATGGGGTAAGCTAAGGACCAGGTCGGAGTGACTGGAAGAGCTTTTGTCTCTTGAGATGGTCTCAAGAGATGAGTCTTCTCTCCCAAGATGGTCTAACCAGGAGATGACCCTCTCTCTTGAGATGGTGTAAGCGTGAGATGACTTCTCCTTCCCATGATGGCCTAAGTGCGACTCTTTTCTCCCAAATATCTTTATCAATTTTTTTGGGGGGGGGGTACCGGGAATTGAACTCAGGACCTTGCACTTGCCAGGCAGGCACTTGTGCCGCTAAGCTATATCCTCAGCCCTTCTCCCAAATATTTAACTGTGGAAAGGACCCTCTCCCATGACGGAGTAAGTGGGCAGTGATCTCCCCTTTCCCAGGATGGTCCATGTTGGGGAGATGATGCCTGTCTCCCATGATGCTCTAAATGGGGAATGACCTTGCTCTTCCATGACAGGCTAAGTAGAGGTGACAGCTCCCTTCCATGATGGTCACTGCATGATGCCCCCTCTGTCCTTTCTCGGGAGAGGCTCTAAGTGTGGTGAGTCACAGGCCCAGCACTATGGTGCTCCACAAAGAGTAAGACGAGGTCCTCAGAACTGTGTGCAAGTTCAAAATCAAACTGGACGCATGATTCCTGCGGGATATTTTAATAGGCAAGGCAAAAGTTACATTTTGCCTAAGTCAGCTTTAGCTAGTTTGTCTGACCTCTTACAGCCACCATATTTCCAATTACCCTTCCCTGACAGAACGTGCAGCGCTACAATCTGAAGTAGTCTGGGGTTTTAAGAGAATCCTGAGAGGAGGACTCAGAAAGGAGCCATTGGCTCTTCCTCCCATCTGAGGTGCTGGCTGGGGAGTCCGGAAAGGGAATTCCTGGCAGGAGGCAGCTTGGGAAGAGTACAGTGCACAGGTCCTCAAGGAAGTGCTGCACCTGACCTCTGCTGAGTTCCTGGTGGGGCGTAAGGAGGGGGCTGGGCTAGATTCTGGAGTGCATTCGAAGGAAGCGACACTTCCATCTATGAAGAAGTTATGGGAGTTTAGGTGTGATGAGAGTTTCATGGTAAAAACACTGCTCGGTGGTGGGAAATGGACTGGTGTGAGAAAGCCAACAGGGAACCAGCCACCTCCTCCACCTCTGTTCCCACGCATTGTCCATCAGCAGCCCCTTCCAACAAACTCCTTCCAGCAAGCACTCCCTTCATCCTACTATCTAACTGCTCAGCTCAGGGGCGGCCTGGGAAACCTTTGCTAAAAAAGAAAATAAGTAAGTGCAGGAGAGAGGAACCCCCAGCTTACCCACTCTCCAAGTGAAATCTGCTTCAAAGCCCACCAGCTCACAGTGATTCTCCCTCTCAAGGGCCCTGCTCACCTCCTGCCTGTTCTCTGATCTGCTTTCCTGGCTTGTTCATTCCAGCACACTTAGAAATGCGGCACATGATTATCCGACCCCTTCGTGCACTTAGAGCTAAGTACGCTGTTCATGCACTTGCTTCTTCCCTTGCTAATCACTGACGATCACCAGAAAAGGGGTCACATCTCCACTGCCACTCAGCCTGGTTCTGGGCTTGACCCAGAAAGTCCACCTGCCCTCAGCTCCCAGCTTCCCCTGGGGCTTCAAGGGTCTAAACTCAACAACACTGTAGTTCAACCTAATGAGATGCTAATTATCAAATTTCCATCTTATTAAAAATATATTAGTCTCCCCCTCTTTGTTTATCTAAATCTGCTTAATTGACACCAAAATAATAATGAATCCTAGGAATGGTATGTTAGGGCACAGTCAGGCCCTGCTTTATTATGTTATCCAGCCATCTGTGACCCTTCATTAGAGGCATTTGGGAATCCAGCTCGGAATCACTGCCAGATCACAAAACGGCAACGCACGATCAGTGCTGTGGTTTTAAGAGCCTTGCTGCTCTTAGACACACAGTGTGCTTTTACTTAACAGCAAACTAAAACGGTCAAATGTTAGTTCTACTCATAAGGTAAACTTCCTAGACAGTCTTGTAGACAATTTTGTGAAGATATGGACAGATTAAACCCCCCAAAATGACGCTGCTATGGCTGCACACACACCCAAACACATGGGGATTCAGACCTCCTAAATATTCAGTGACCCCAAACACTCTCCGAATTCTACACTGAGCAGCAAGCAGCGATGGCCCTTCCGTGTCTCTTCTGAGGGCAGATCTCCTGCACAGTGCCGCCACAAGCACGGGCTATTTTCTTCATATTTCCAGGGAAATGGATTCTGTGTGTCAGCTGAGTGTCTACGCAGGTATCGCACGCAGGCTGGGGCAGGGCCAGGGCCGGGGCCCGCAGAGCTGCCCGGCTTCTCCTCAGCCTTTCCCTTCCCAAAAGCATCACTGTCGCCCCCAGGATGCTCCGGATCGCTTGCCATCACCATCCTGACCGCTTGGGTCGCCCGGCTCCTGCCTAACGACACATCATTGCGTTTCCTGTGCTGTGCAGCGCAGCAACCTGAGTCTAACGGCAAACACCAATTTGCCACCTGGAACTTATTGCAAGGCTGGCGCAGCTCGCAAATCTAAAAACCCACCTGTCTGCAGGGCAGATCACGACGGAACGGCACGGGCACCCCGTCCCACCCAGGCGTTATTTTCCATGCCCACTCACCACCAAAGCCAACCCTTAGCAAGCTGGCCTCTATCAGGAAAAGAAAAAATCAAATTAAATAAGCCTTTCTTTCCTGGTTCCACTCGCCAATGAGGTCAGGGCTGTTGGTTTAACTTCCCTCTCCCCACAGGCGCCTCGGAATCAGGGTCCAGGCTTCGCCCCGGCCTGGGGTCCACACTAAGGGGGGAGACCCGGGATGGGGCCAGCAGCCGTTCTCGTTAAGGCTGGAAGAAGATAGAGACCAGAACGGAGGCAGCCGGATGCCCACGCCCTAGCCAGGATTCTCGGGTGCACCTCCACGCACCGAGGCTCGCGCGCAGTTGCGCGACCCGCACCCGTCACCCGCGCCCAGCGCAAGCCCGCGCCAGGCCGCCCCGCCGCCCGCAGGTGTCCCCGCCGCCCGGCGCCTACCCAGGGCCCAGGTGCAGCTCTCCTTGATGGCTTTGTACTTGCTGCCGGACGCCTCCTTCTGCAGCTTCCTCAGGATCTCTTCCATCTTGACCTTCCCGGGGCCGGGCCGCCCACACTGACACCGCGAGCGCCAGCCGGGCGGGGACGCGCCAACGCCGCTGCGGCCGGGGC